AAGATAAAGTAATAGCCTGATTGAAAATAAGTGTCAGTGAATCGGAGATGACAGGTGCAGCTAATTTAATAATTTTGGAAGAGATTTTATCGATGCCAGTGGCTTTATTGTTGGAAAGTCCATGCAAAAGATGAGAAACATGACTGACAGTATAACAGGTTGGAAAGCAGCAAATTCTGATTGAACATTTTTGACATACGTTTCAAAATTGGAATTTGAATCATCTATTTTGCTGGCTAGATCTGGGCCAATATTTGAAAAATATTCATTAAAGCCCTCCGCAATATCTTCAGGACTTGTCAAATTTTGTTCACCTACATTTAGTTCATTTACCACTGTTGGTTTGTTTTGCCTACCTAACAAGTTGTTTATACTTTTCCAAACTTTCTTGGGATTAATTTTTTGACCAGCTATTTTCGAGGAATAATAATCTTTTTGGCACTTCTTAGTTCTATATTTACTTTATTTCTAGCTGTTTTAAAGTTTAACCAATCATTCTCGTGGTTTGTCAAAATGGCTTTTCGTTTAAACTAATTGTCCCTTGTATTCATAAGTTTCTTTATATCACTTGTAATCCAAGGGACTTTTTTCGATCTTATCTTCTTTTGCTGAAGTGGTTGGTGCATGATTGTCTAGGACTTCAAGAAATAAATTTCTCCAAATTTCCTGACATGGGCATGGCATTTGGATCATCAGCAAAGAAATACACATATTCCCAGTGTTGTTTTAGCAGTTCTTCAATAAATTTTCCTTCATCAAAATTTTTCATGTCGTTTCTAATTTCAAGAAAATTTTCCTGATTGCAAATACTAAGCTGTGATCACTAATACCTGTGTGAATGACACCAGAACCAGAGATTTCCTCTGGCTATTAGACTGGTGGTTGTTGGAGTTATTCGAGTTAGCCGATCCGACTACGAAACAACTTTATCAATCCGATCCGAAATGAATATTTTGGTTCCGAAATCCGAACGAATCGGATCAGATTTGCACAGTAGATATGACGTCATATATATCAATTTTGATCACAACCATACTCTTACAACATGGCGGAAGCATTAGTCAGAGCTGCAGAGAGCGAGAAGTTAGTCAACGTTCGCAGCGACACACAAGAGAATATGGAAAGAACTACAGCATCAGGCTGTCATCCAGTATTTATCAATTCATTTACGTATATCGGAACGCTGGTACTATTTATTATAATTTTAGAAATACCCAGTTTACCAGCACTTCCATTTCCACTAAATAACTCGATGCTAATATCAAATGACGCAGATTTCGCCAAGAACAAACACATGAAGTATTTGTTCATAGCTTTGTGGGCACTTCATTTTATGTGACGAATACTAGAAGTACTCTTTGTTCATCGATATAAACGACGTATGCCGATAATCGAAAGTGCTGGTGCGCCTGTATATTACTGGTTCTTTGCTATCTGGATTGCTTGGTCAATGCGTTCTGAGTCAGGTTATGAACAATCGTTTCTCGTTTTTGTTATTCTCGGCAGCTTAGTGTTTCTTATTGGTGAAATAGGAAACTGTATTTGTCATATTCAGTTACGAAAATTTCGAACGAGTTTTATTTCGAGCAGCGCGTCTCGTCATGTACTCCCACAAGGCTTATTATTCAATTACGTTTCGTGTCCGCATTATTTCTTTGAGATTCTACATGGACTGGATTCTTCCTCGCAACATGGACATTGCCAGCTGTTCTGTTTCTTCTTGCAACAATTGTGACATTAGTTGTTTACGCAGGCAAGAAACACAAAGCTTATTTACAGGAATTTGATGGCAAAGATGGAAATGAAATATACCCTGTCAATAGAAAAGCATTAATTCCGTTTATTTATTAATTTGTGGCCACCTGGGGCAGTATAGGTGATAAATGAACGGTATTTTATATGCTTTAATCATAGATTGATTTACATGTTAATATTTGGTTTGGCTCAATTCTTGTAGACCATTGTACTTTAATATTGACCCATAGCAGAAATTTGCATATAATGAAAGAAACTGGAGTTCAGGGTTAACTGGGGCACTGGAGTTGTGGGTCGATTCAAGTAGTCCTCCAGATCATAGTCTATTATTAAAGATATGATGGTCTGGAAAATAAACGGAAGTGTTTGTTAAGGCCCATCTACACGATACTTGTTGTATACGATTGTCATTTTGGCGTATGAAAACGATTGTTGACGCCACTATTCATGTTCATCAGTTTATGGCAAAGTTTGAAATGTAACATCTTTACATCATTACATGCATTTAATTGAGTACATACACCAGGATAAAAATCTTATACGACTAGTCGTATCATGTAGATGGGCCTTTATATGTTTTTGTCTGAGTTTATGTTGATTTGTTCACGGTCACAGTGATTGACCTCATTGTATTTTCGTATAATTAAGTAACCGTCCAATGGGGATAGCTGACGATGAATAATATTGAATGAAGTTGATACAAAGGATTTGTGCAATGGTGAGGTACAGTTCTACTTCAACATCAAACAAAGGTCTTCTACTCTGTGGCTTTGATGTTTGCCGGCATTCCAGATCATGATATCTTAATAGAGTATATCCAGATGTCATGTATTAGCATAGGCAGGGCCGTACGCAGGATTTTTTTACCAGGGGGGCAGTAAGGCCTATATGCCGAAAAAAGTCCCAAATATCCAAAGAATAAGTAAGGCCCTGAGCATAGGCGTAGCAGAGAAATTTTTGGTCCAGCTGTTTGTACTTTTGAAAGTCGACGTCAAGCAGATTGTACTTACAAATTTGGCAATTGTACTTAAAAATGGTGAAAATTATTATGTAAGAGCGGGCACATTAATAAATTGGTGGAAATAGGAAATGTTGTTTGAAAATGTCTCAATGTTTCAAAAATTTGTGCGCCTGCCCCCCCCCCCAAACCTTTTTTGAAATGCGCCTACGATGCATTATTTATAACTGCATTTTAAGATCAACTATCAGTGGGGTCTAGAACCATAGTGGGGCTGCACGTATATCCGAAATCAACTGAAACTCAAACCACAACACCCCAACTTCTAAGCGCGCAAAGTACAATGGTTGCGCAGTAGTTGTGTTTTGTAAAATACCACGAACAATTAGAATGTGCCTTTCATGATTAGAGGTGGAGGTTTTCAATTTCCGCCATCTTGGCATCACTTTTCTGATCGGCTGAATGGAGTTCTTGCTCCAGATACATATAGAGCTCACTGGTTTGAACGGACCTACTGGAAGTACGGCAATTGCTAGATAGTATACTTCAAAATAAGGTTTCCGTTTTTATATCAATTTTTAAAATAAGTTCGGGTTAGGTTAGGGGTTAGGGCGAGGGTTAGTGTTAGGGTTTAGTTTTGTGTTAGGATAGTTTTTTCTACGTAAAAAGACGGAAACCTTATTTTGAAGTATACTATCTAGCGATCACCGTCTATACTATAGTACATATAACATGGCAAATGTGCTCAATAATTATATACGATTTGAAATTTATTCTCATATATAAATGGAGTTACACTGTAACAAATATAATCACTTACACAATTAATTCATAATTCTTCTAAAAATTATTATGTACATTTTTGCGTCACAATAGAATAATTTGCGTATGTGATTTTACACAGGCAATATTGGGCAACAGCGACAACACATGACAGTTTAAATTCAACAGCACATTACTAATGTAACCTGCCAACTGAATCAATAAGGCTAACAGAAGAACCTCTGTGACGTGGTATAACATGCAGGCTTTTAATTGCATTTACTTCGACTTTTTAAAAAGCTTTTGTTATTATATTCATTAGTTTTTCGAACATGTGAACGACTTTCCGTTTAATCTCCAGGAATGTGACCGAAATGGCATTTTCTTTCAAGTATGAATTTTGGCATGTGTAATATTTGGATCATTCTAAGAAGAAATGTAATATATCTTTATAGTAAAAACCTCATCTTGATCAACATTTTCATTGTCAAATGTGCTGGTGCGATGTCATTAGATTAATTTTAGCAGCAAAAAACAACGGGAAAACTAATTTACAAATTACAATTCATGTATTATCGTAGATTAGGTTTTTCCAACAAAGATATATTACATTTCTTTTTAGAATGGCCCCAATATTACGTATACATAACCAAAAGTCACATATGGTGTTTCTCTATTTAGAAAATCCTGTGAATTTCACTCCTGGAATATTGTCACGTGAACACTATTGCCCTGTTATCACGTGATAGCTTCATTTCCGTCATTACTGTGGCTGCCTCCCACTTGCTTTTCACCTGTGAACGAAATATAAACCAAGATAATGAGTGAAATAAAATATCAGCCCTTTGAATAAATTAATAAACACGTACTAAATTATCATCTCAAGCACACAAATCATAATAACATGGCATTTCTGCTATTACATACATAGAATTTTTACCAATATGAGGTATTAGAAGTAATATTACTAGATTTCAGGTCCGCGCAATTTGATCAAAATGCGAGGACTTGATTTCTAGTCCGATTTGAAATGATACGAAAAAATGACTACTTAAAATGAGGCTAGGTGAATTAATTTTGATCCAATCCAATCTACGCATGCTCATGCAACAGTGCGTTGCATGAGATAATTGGATTACTTGCTACATTACCTTCTCATATTGTTCAAACTTTAACGTCGTGTATTCAATAAATATTTCCCGTAACTCCAGTTCTTTCTGATAATCAAAATGATACAACTCGTTTGAGAGATTCTCGTACATCATCTCCAAGTGAGCTTTGGCCGCATGAAGGTTAGAGTTCGCCTGAAATATAACCACACCGGTACCTTAGGGGTTGCTTACATGATCCCGCTTTGCGAGATGTGAGGCGGGATGATTTTCGTGTATTGAAATAAGTTACGGTGCCCAATTCAGTAAAGCTACATTATTTTTCTTGTGATAGATTATCGTATAATTGTGAAAGAAAAGTTGTTAAGCAGCAATAGTAATCTTATTGGACCACGAGATCTTGTGGACAACATTTGAGTAATTTAACGCCGTTTGAACTTTCGTTTATTAAAGCCTAGTAATTTATTTCATGACATAATACATTCTGTCCCGGCAAACTGGGATCATGTAAACAGCCTCTTAGATTAAATATCGAATACAAACAAGAGCACAACAACACGGTGCAGGCTGATTTTTGTTGCATTATATCGAGGTAGCTATAAATAATAATATGCAGTGTGGACAAACTATTCGAGTGGACCAACTATATGCAGACAGTTCGTTCTGACAGATGATCCGTCTTTTTGCCCGCGTTTATACGCAGACGAACTATCAGACGAACAATTTTTCTTTGCCCAAATTTGTCCACACAGATCATCCGTCTCTAGTGCTAGTATAAATTGCGCCATCAAAACAATCGCTGGAGCATGCTAATGTTTTGTACACCAGAACACCTACATGCATAATTATTCCATCCCATACAACCCAACCTTTACTATGACATAAAACTATATTTACTAAAATCATTTGCCAACTCACCTCAGCCCATCTTGTAGTGAGATCTGTACTACTTTCTTTATTCATGTTTTTCTGGTCAAAATAAAGGATGAGATTTTAAAAGATGTAATTTGCTTTTTATGAGTTACTGAACCCAACTACAGAAAAAATCTTGTATACGTATGAAATTCTTGTATGCGAATTCTTGAAAAGCGACCCTTGTGCAGTGAGCTCTATATACCTGGAGCAAGAACTGCAGTCATTCGGTCTATAAGAAAAGTGAAGCCAAGATGGCGGCCATTGACATCCAATAGCTATGAAGGTCGTAAACAGCTTTTATACCATTTTCCCAGCTAATTCCAAGTTATCAGTTCATAAAACCATAGTGTTATTCCATCGATGTCAAAATACGAAATTTCGGCACACTCTTTGCCAAGATGGCGGAAATTGAAGGAGTTATTGAACGTCAGTTCCAGTCCCTTTCTATTGTTTTTGTCTGCGCGGTTAACACGAAGCTGGCTTCGTCTTTGAACTCGAGTTCTCGCTCCAGATTTATATGGAGCTCACTGCTCTTGTATTACATCACTATGACACAGAATAGGAAGTTATACCAGAAGCGTAACTCGAGCAAATATTTGTCCGCGTTTTTACAAGCGATTCGTCATCAATCACGCCATCCTGGCTAGTACAACCGGCACTTTGTACCTACCAAATCCTGATAAAAACTTCCGGCTGTACTAGCCAGGATGGCGTGGCCTGACGTGAGCGAGTTAAAATTTTCGTGGACGTCAAACAATAAGGGAAACGACTAGAGTTACGCTTCTGGTATAACTTCCTATTCTGTGACTATGATTACATGTACCTTCATTTCTTCACACACCCGAACTTCCTCTTCCCAATATAAAAATGTGTTTACAGAACTTTCTACTCTACCCAATAATTCCTACAATGAAAACACAAAATACTTAAATATATATACATATGTATTGTATATATCGTTTCAAGATAACTAAATACGGATAACATATCGTGCACATACCTGGCAACTATAAATATATTCTAAAACACTCTGAAGATCACCAATAATAAGTTTTTCATCTTCCTTCTAAAAATAGATACAGTATATTTAGCATATATTATATATATACATATTACAAGTATTAGAATACATTAAATATATAGTATATATTATGCATAAAACTAGAATACGGATTTAATTCATAAATCAGGCGCAGTTCTGAAGCATAGTTAATTAATGAATTAGTTAATATCGTTTTATATTACTCTCCATAATGCTTCTCTCGAGTACGAGATTTATACTTCCAGTAAAACTAGGACGTGACAAAATAATATTCATATATGAAGTATTTACTGCTTAAGATTCCGAGCCAGTGAACAAACCTGCCGACCTTGACCCTGCAAGTACACAGCAATTTCGAAGTTATTTCATTTTACCTGTCCTTTTTCTAAATCATCACAAACTTTACTTAATGCTTGGGCAGCCGTCTGTGTTGAAAAAAAAACACAGAGAAGTTGAGTTACGGTGATACTGTGAGGAGACAATTGATCTATTGACATTGTAATATAATATGTCTAGTTGTTTATGCATATTAACAATGCCATGTTACTAATAATAGTAATTTTAGACTTTAGTGCATTAAAACCCGTTTATACGAACCCAATAATGCAACGAGGTTCAGATTTATTCGCACAGAAAATCTGTACTTGGAATATTTGTGAAACAGAATAAAACCTTATTAGAGAATGATTGTATGGTGTAGGACAGGGTTGGAAAAAGTATCGGACCACGGGACCATTGGTCCCAGAAATTTTTTTGAGTTCCCAGAAAATACTTCCCCAAGAAAATTGTAATAATTCAGATAAAAGGAGAAATTCTGAGGAAAATTCACACCATGACCCCATGACTTAATAGTGCGATAGTATATCAATGTATTAGACTATAGAATGGTGAAACAAATGTTGTATGGCAAATGCATTTTTAGCCAATGTGGAACACCTGATTTCAAAATTTTCTGAGGGAGCATGGATCCCCCTGATAGTGCCCCCCCCTCCCCCCGCCCAGTAGTGCCCTTTTTTGCATCTGTGTTTAACATAGGATCAGACCCTTGATGCATGTTATCTAAATTAGTTTTATGTTATATTTTAAGATTCTCAGTGGACTGAAATAATTTTTTCTGTAAAATATAGCATGACATCCAGTTTGACAACTTGTTAGTGTCACACAGTTACAGTGTCCGAGTGTCCATTTACTTCAAGATTATTTGCAAAACATTTTCAATGTTCTCTTCCCAGAAAGTAAAATATTTTTCCACCCCTGGTCAGTAGGACCAACAATGTTGGACTGGTTGAACGGGCGTTTAGGTCATCAACTGACCACATAGTTTATCAAAATGGACAAAATATCCATTAGGGGCGGACCATTAGAAAAGTGAGGGGGGGGGGGAACAAAAAAAAATTCGTGCAAGGCAAATTAACTTTAAAAAAAATTCCTGCATGATCAAATTCGAGGAAAAAAAATTCCTGCAGAGCGCAATGAAAAATATAATTAAATCATTGTTGGCGAGATTGTTCATTGTTGGAAAACAGGGCCAAGCTTTATTTTATTCTGGACTTGCAAATTGCAATCCACGATGTTAGTCATCTTTCAACAAAAGTGGGTCGTTTAATATCTTCTATAGACGTCTATAGAAGATTATAGAATGGTGGGCCATGTAGCCGCAAATTCAATTGCGGTGCCTTTGGCTTTGCATCATTTGGAATGGTATATAAGAATTGGACGGCTTCATGTAATCATGTATGTCTTTTAATCAGAGTCAGACACAGGTATTAAACTGACTCGCACCGAGTTACTACTGAAATCGTAAATTCGTAAAATAGATTGGAACTTGAAGTTGAAAACGTATTTTGTATAAAATATGTGTTTTTAATAAAAAGTCTGGTATTGGGGTTTGGCTTTGGGTGAATGGGTGGGGCTAGGTCTAAGGAAAATGAGAGATCTTTGTCTTTTGACTCCATGGCTGTATTAAAATATATAATAGTTTTCTACAACTTTTCAAAAGTAATTGTTCAAGGAATTTAATCACATTATTTATTGAAAGAACAGAAAATAGTTAGTCTTTTTCATACGTTACTTGTGCTTTGTTAAGAAAACTTCTAGTTTCATGGAAAAAAAATTCGTGCAAATAATTTGGTGCCAAAAAAAAATACCTGCAACGCCAAAGCAGTCGAAAAAAATATCGTGCATGCAAGAAAAGTCCCCCCCCCATCACTTTTCTAATGGTCCGCCCCTTACCTTTAGGTACGTTTCTTCAGGTTCAGACTCTGCAATTGATTTAAACCATCGTCCCTGGCCCTCTGAATAATATATAAAGTATATATCAAACATTGTTCTTTTCAACTTCTTGGGGAGGTTTATATTGCTTAAGTACTTTGATGGAATACGACAATATCTTTTTTTCAACAAGATTCATGACATTACTTAGTTGTTGTAAGACAAATTTGCATTTCCTTCGACCTTCGTTTCTGGCAATTTCCTTGAAATCTTAAGCCCTGATCAAACGAGGGTGAGAGTTGCTGAGAATTACAACTCTCGCTCGTGTTTAACCGCCAACTCTCAACAACTTTGAGCTGATTCCAATTTTTATCAGTTGATCACTTGATGAGTCTTTTTTCTCGTTTAACCATAGGCAGCCCAATGTTATGGTTGCCTGCCTGCGCGCGGGCGAGGCATTGTATAGTTGTGTTAATACAACTATACAATGCCTCGCCCGCGCGCAGGCAGGCAGGCAGGCAACCATAACATTGGGCTGCCTATGGTTTAACCGATAATATCCATGGTCAACTCTCATCAACTCGCATGCACCATTTAAGGAATCGTATATCATACTATTTTATCTGTCATTTGAGTCAAGTAACATAAATGCAGTCAAGAATACTTTGTTGTTGCATACATGATGGCATAATTCATGTGTCAGTCAAATTTGCCATCGTTTTACGCACTCTTGAGGAACATTTGAAAAAGGCAAATTCAGGATCTGGGAAACATTAAACACTTTTTCCAGGTCTGACAATGAGATGTAACAAGAGAAACTTACTTTTAGAACCACTTTCCAGACTGCTCCTCAGATGATTAATTAAGCCACTTAAACTATTCACAATGGATACTAAATATTTCTGAAGAAAAAAACACGATACGACTTTAACAGATCGTTAAGACATGAAAGGACAATCAATACAGTCGAGTAAATTCACGACTCTTTCATAGTTCTCGCTCCAAAAAGTCCACAATAATCCATGGGAATACCTAACAGAAGATAGAGCATTTATACACGGCGTGAACGATACGGCGCAATGAAGTAAAAAGTACCAGTTAAAATATGAGCAGCTGATGTTTATGGGCATTTAGAATGCCCATAAAGACCAGTTGCGAATATTTTAACGTACTTGTAAAATGAATTTATTTGTTTACTTTATTACTATTCACTGCCCATGGGGACAATCTCACGCTTCATTAGCTTGCATTTAAGATCTGAATATATTAGTATTGAAAACTTTCATAAACATCCCTACAGAATATTGATAACTTTCATAAACATCCCTCTAACATGACTTACTGCGGTTTACAAGTGTGCACATGTCTTCTATAAATACCGCGTCGTGATTTGTTTGTATAGCCTTATTAATTATTCATGAATTTTACAATTTCAGTTAAAATCCGATACTCAATAGTTACTATACCTGACATTTAACAAGTGTTCCTTTATCACTAGTTGATATTCTAGATGGTTTATATTCAATTGGGCTCTGCTTCAACGACTGTCTTTCGCTAAACTCTTCTTTTGCTGTTATAATTTCCTTAAAAACACGAAAGAAAGATGTTATATAAGAATTGGATACAACAACAACAACAACAACAACAACAACAACAACAACAACAACAACAACAACAACAACAACAACAACAGCACAACAACAACAAACGATAAATCGTCTTACTCGAAAACACAAACTGTACCTCATCTGAACCAGTTAAAAATAATTGTATTAAACTGCTTGTTCGCAGAATTTGATGTTGACAAAGACGAGAAAGAAACCGTTCCAGTTCCCTCGTTTTCCCTAAAAATAACGAGACCAATGTTATGCCAAACTACTAACATCTTAAGCCGAAATTCAATATTAACTGCATGTAAATAAATGGTAGCTGTAGAAATATTTTTATTCCTTTTTTCCCACTCACGCAACATGTAAAGCTATTTCACTGGATCCGGTTGTACGAAAGCAGGATAGCGCTATCGAAGTTTCCTTTTACTAATTGTGACATTTACAGTATATTCGTAGTTTTATCACTTTTCAAGCATTTTTACAACGGTTAAAAAATCACTATCCGGTGGATAGCGCCATCCGGCCTTCGTACAACCGACCCCTGAGCTATAATCACCATTAAGTGTAGTCTGTTGAAGTAAAGGTGGCACCACACATTCTGTACATAACTCCTGTAAATTATCTCTTAACCATAAACAATCTGATTCACTTCTATGTACATCGTAATGACTATTATTGTAGTTTTCAAGGTTTGTCTAAAATGAGACGAAAATAATGGTTACAATGTCCTTATGTTTCGCACAAAATAAGTTTAGGGTTACAGATTGGGTTGTGAATGGGTCAAGATCAAAGAGAAATATATTTGTGCGCAAAGATGTTACCAAAATAATATGAAAATAAGCTTATAAATCAAGTCATCTGCTTATAAATCCAACACATCTCTTGTTGGCGGTCGTTTAAAGTGGAGGAATCTTCCTAATCTGGCAATACACAGGGAGCCCCCCCCCCCAATAATTTGTAACTAGCGATAATCTGTAAAGTTTGAGAGGGAAATAATGACCTAATAATCACCCATGACTAATCAACCCCCCGCCCCCAATACAAAATTGCTTCCTACGGTAGTGATATATAATATAAAGATTGTCCTACAACATACAGGGGTCGAAATTATTTGTTCAATTGTCCAAATATGATCGTTGACTCAAAGAACAATACTTACCCTCGTAACAATTTTAAACGAAGCTTTCTCAATATCTGCCTCCGAACACGTCACATTAACGATCAATGTGTCTGGCTTCAGTAAACTACAGAGAGTGTGATAAAGAACATTAAACGAACGAAGAAGCACACAAAAATTAAACAAGCTACTAAGAAGAATATCATATGCAGCCATTGCCGTTTATATAGCTGTTGCCAGTCAAGAAATGTGCCATTGCCCTTGGCGTTTCGCGCACAATAAGGTTAGGGTTGTAATTGGGTCATGATCAAAGATAAATATATTCGTACCAGAAACTTAAGGATGTTACCCTTTGTCTTTGGCAATGCAGTTGATAGGAATTCATTCGATCGCAAATATAGCAGAAATTTATGAATAAGAATAATAAAAAAATATGGATAAAACTTTGTTGTGGCAAAAAAATAGTAAAAAAACAAGAGTCGAGGGGCGTAGTAGCCTGCATGGCACACTACTCCGCCTCCCGGGTGAACCGTTTGCCTTGGGCTCTTCTACAGGTAAGAGCAGGGCCATAGCGACCTGAGGTGGGGTGGGGTGGGGTGGTACACCCACCATAGGTAATTTGTTGATGAGTAATTTCAGGTGATTCTGTTTTTCAGGTTAATTATAAGAGCATTGACGGGCAAACATGGAAATTAAAAGTTTAGTTGCATTTCTGGGCTTTCTGCGGGTATAAATATTCAAAATTTTCTCGGGGAAGCATTCCTCCGAATTCCCCTAGTAAAAGTGAGCCCTCTAGATGAGCAATGATGTTCTAAGAGCAAACGCAAATTATATTTATTAAAATATCGTTTATACTGTATATAAAAAAATATACACCATACATATACCGTAATCCTTGTGACATTTCAAGACTTTTACAGTATATGGAACCACCACTGACTAAAATTAATTGATACTTATACTGTGCGTATAAGTATCATTTATAGTTTTATACTGTACATTTGATCACTTACGCACGATTCTTTGACTGTGATTGTGCAGAGCATATCCTTGAATGACTCGTTATCTCGTCAATTCTTGTAGATAAAGAAAAATCGTATCGTTAAAAGAAATTTCTAAATATCAGAACGAAGTGTTCAAAAACGGCAAAAATTATTCTGCATTCAGTTGATTAGTGACGTCACACCGAAGATTCGTTGCAAAAGTTCGGGTTAGGGTTGGGATTTGGTTCAGAAGCTCGGTGCGACGTTACTGTTATCAACTGATTCGAATTCGTGTGCACGTAGCCGTAGGCTCAGCTAGCACGTAGGCTCAGCTACATGTACATGTTAAGTTATGCAATTTTTTCCCAACGCAAAACGCGTCACTTTGACGCGCAATCGACACTAAGAACTGGCTTTTACTGCTCACCTCATTTTCTCATAACACAGTGTACATGATAACATGAGATCTTCCGGGTTTAATTCAGCACTTAGTCGGTGACATGCCTGGAGAAGGAACAGTACATACAGTATTAAACCCTGCATTGGGTAAACAAACTACTGCCAAGTTTGTGTTTACAGCAATTTTTGTCTCGTCAAGATCCAAGAATTTGTCTCCAATAATTGCGTGAGGTCAATACCATATGTACCATAACTATCATTTACAGTTATAATAATCAAAATCAAAATGTTATAATAAGCAGAAACAATCTTGGAGTACAAACAATCCCCTCCCCTCCCCCCCGAGCAATATTATAGTAAAGTGGAAATGAAGCGAAAATCTTTACTTAGAAAGAGCTCTTCAAGTGTCAAGTAAGTTCATTTGAACATCGTCGCTTCCATGCATTGCCGTTGACATATTTCGCCTTGTGCGATATTCAAATGAGATAACTCATATATTGCAAAAAATTATGTGTGACGTAATTAAGGGTGTATTGCGAAAATAATCATGATTTACAAATATGTTAACTGGGAACAAAGGAACCATAAGTTATCTTAATATTCCTGATTAATTTAACCAAGATTTCCAAACATAATCTGGTTAATTCAACCATGTAGCCTGGTTAAACTAATCAGGAATCCTCGTTAAATTAGCCACGATGATGATCAAATTAACCAGGATTGTGGTTAATTTAACCAAGAATTCAACCAGGGTGTTTTTAGTGTGTTTCATTTCAATCAAATTATTACCTATTGCCAAAGGTCATAAAATTAAAATATTAAAGACGAGATTCCGGTAATTTCGTTCAATAATTGCGAAAATAATCATGATTTACAATTATGTTAATTGGGAACAAACGAACCATAAGTTATCTGTTATCTCATTTGAATATCACAGAACTCGTAATATCTCAACAACGTCAACGAAACTTGCAAACAATAATCTTGAAAAGAAGTTATTTTATAGTTTTAAGAGTTATTTTATAGTTTTAAGAGTCGCTTCATCTCCACTGATGGAGTTGTGTTTGTTTGAAAACGTTCGGCTACCTTTATTTTGTGGGGTACAAGTTCAACTGTTTCATGAGCCACATCTCCATTAGGTACAATTTGCGTTTCATTTTTACGTTCAGAACCAGGAATACCATCAAATAACTTTATCTGCCAAAAGAATATTATAAAGATGGTTTGTTTGCTTGTACAACAAAAAAATATACATTGTAACTCATTTATCAAGTTACGGATTTAATGTAGCATTTCCCCCGGGGTACAGGGTAAATAACGAATCTATATTCAAGGGGATTATCTAGCCGGGACCTTAACGCTCGGCTGGAACAGAAGAGGACTGGAACGAGTTTATCCTCGTGGAAACATGGCGGAATCAATCATTCTTGCCCATCTTTTGTTTATATTGTTTCTTTATATTTCTATACTGATATTAATTATTTGTGACTACATAAGTAACTAGGAACGTTTACAGTCAATATTCCCCGGGTAGCGGGGAAAATAGCAATATTTAACACTGTCAAAATGTTAAATTCCCCGCCCTGTACTAGAAAACAACATTAACAACTGAATGATACAGTTTTTATTTGTGTAAGTGATATGACAATAAAAAGTTAGTTTGTCTCATTTGAAATAATTTTCAAAACTTATTTCAAAAACTCATTAATAATTCAGGAGCAAAACACAAAGAAAAATCATAAGCGTGTCGTGGTTTTATATGTGATAAAAAATCACGTTAATTTACATAAACTTTAGCTTTAATTTTCTCGGTTTAGACAAAGTTTATTTTAATAATATCATGTTTGCGTGAATTTCTATTGTTCTATTGTGCTGTATTAGTAACTAATTCACTCGCCTACTCAAATGTACAGGTCGTATTAGAACTAATACGACCTCAGTTGACGTCACTACGGGTCGTATTAGTATTACCACATCACCTGGAAAGTTTGAGCAAAATTATATCACAAAATTATGCACTGAAAAACACACAAACATTTAATTGTTATCATTACTTGCTAATATAATATCCGCCGACATCATTGACAGTGTCTGAACACTGATTTGGGTGAAATTCACGCAAAAATAATATTACAAAGTAATATCATGAAGTAATATAATAAATGACCCTCGTCGAGCGGGTGGTTTAATGACTAATACTCCTCATTTCATGATATTACTTATAAAAATTACCTCGCCAATGAACTCGTATAAGATGAGTCGTTTTTGAAGCTATTTAAAGCACTTGTAGTCGTGTTTTATCACATATAAAACACTCCGCTACGCGTCGTATTTTATATGTGATAAAACACCCTACGCGTGCTTTAAATAGCACATAAAATACCTTATTTCTATACAAATTACTAATTTTCATATCTTGCTTTGTTCTTGAAATAGTTTGACTGAAAACAACGAGCTATCCGCTATTTTGGATTAATTTTTATCTCATTATGCATTAACGATGGTTTTAGTCACGTGAAACCCTGCGGTTAGTCGCTCAAAACTACTCCTAGGCGCAGGTGACCAAATAACAATTAAGATATTTAAAATGTTGTGAGTCGATGACCATAAAAATTTGCGAGCCCCTGGTTGTTATGTGCATATCCTCAACAATATGGCGGACAGCTTACTGTTTTAGGTCAAAGCTGTATTTATACTCGATTTGATATGATTTCCACATAATTTTAAAAGTTTTTTTTTTAAATTAGGGAAACTAATCAGTTTTTATTGTCATATCATTCTTATTGTCTTAAAACAACGAGCTGGATGAAAACATAATTTTTCAAAAAATATCATCACCATACCAGGGAGTCCTGACCAGATTTACAGATTTCAGTCCTTAAGTGGTCAATATAGCCTTGCAATCCTTTTATGTTTTCTTGTTCCTTTACGAAAAAAGTAAATGTTATACACCATATTTCGCAATAGAACCGTAACTGTTTTTGTGCTCAATTATTGAGGATGAGCACACGATATCATTGCTAGTTTATGCGGTTGAGACATGTGTTGTTCAAATACCTTCAAAAGTAGTACTTGAGTTGCCTCCAATTCTTCTTTAAATGAAACGGAATTTTCACCAACGCTATAATATCTAGGAACAAGAAGATAGGTTTTACCATATCTATACAGGAAAAAAGTTTGTTTTTAACTTTATATAAAGACATGTTTGTGTTTCTTTAAAAATAATGTAATTATACGATTATACTGAATATACTACAGCAGTATCGGGCTGTACTAATTAATTGAGTGTCGATAAGTCGTGTTTCAGAAATTCTTCCTTTACATTCTTTCATAAAACTATAATTGAGAACAACTCCTGAAACACCGCATACTTGATCTCTCCCTATCATTTGGTCGTAGTTGGGAAAAAAATGGAACAAAAATGTTGCCGATCATGCCGAGAAAAACTACGAAAAAGCATACCACGAAACGCAAATAATGATTATGCGCAGATGTAAAAATTCAAATAGCCTTTTCAACACGACTCAAACTGTCCTATGAAAGTTTAGCTGGCCATATTTCAATAATTAATACTATACATATATATAATGTAACAGTAAGCGTAGTGAATGCATAATATCAGATTTGCTTACTCTTTCAAAATTTGATGAAGCAATTTGGTAAAATGACCACGCTCTTGAACAAGCCTTAAAGAACAAATTATATTTGAAATGTTAGGGAGGATCAGATACTTGTGCTTATCTAACCCAACCTCCATCCAGTGGACATCTCGAATTACTGTTCGTTAACCAGAAATTCCACTGCAGCCTTTCACAGCATTAATTACTTACCTGTCACTTAAATTCTTATTCTCAATAATATGTTCATCAATGTTCTTCTGAGCACGACGTAATCTTTGTCTCAGGTCAGCGTTCTCTTCCCTTAACTAACAATAGCATAACAATAACCAGAGGGCACTTGAACACTCGGCAACGAATTAAGTTCATTTTCAAGGGGCTAATAACGCTTCAATTGCTCCGCAGTGAGTCTTCAAAAGAACGAGACATTGGTATTATGACGTAAATGTAGGGTACCGTAAACCTCCGAATATAAGCCCCCCCCCGAATATAAGCCCCCCGTGTATAAGCCCACCACATGTACTAACGCTCACCTCATTCCAAATATAAGCCCACCCGAATATAAGCCCACTTGTTTATCACTATTGTTTATCACTATTACTACTGTTAATCACTGTTATTACTATGCTTGTTTAACACTAAGTCGTGTTTATCACTATTACACTAACACAAAAGATCGTTCATGTATAAGCCCCCCCCCCCTTGTATAAGCCCATCAAAAATCGCGTACGAAAGAATATAAACCCAGGGCTTATAGTCGGAGGTTTACGGTAGGTCTTTGGAGTTGTTTTGTATTTTATTAAAATACTCAGTGGTTCTAAAAAATTTGGGAAGGTAGCCCAATACTAGCCATAGTATAATAGGAAGTTCCGTTATACTTCCTTGATATTGTAATTTGATAGCGCTTGGCATATATCCGTGAGTCGTCTCATTGAGACCTTCGATTATATATATTTTTGTTGCTGTTCGTATTCGTAAGTCGGCGTAAGCAATTTGGACGGGGCCGGTTAATTATACGGAGGATATATATAGAAAACATCTGTATTGATCTGTATTCTTTGCAATATAACCCCTTCCCCGAAGGTGCCCTTGGTACAAGCCCTAAAGGTTATGGACAACTTGCCAATTTCACATGTTCAGCTTTGGATTTTGAATGAGATGATGATCATATAGGATTTACTTTGAAAGTAAAATGTTGCATGTTGAAGGACACATGTTGAGTAACGATCTTGTAACTTCGTCTTTCAAATTAGTGTAGAACTGACTTGGAGTATGCAACTTGCCATATGTACACAACTTAGCTAATATTTTTTAGTTAAGAAGAAGAAACCTTTATTCGTACTCGTACTCACAAGAAAAGAAAATTAGTTATTTACATACGATAATACATATGTTATTTAGATATATTTATGAGTTAGAGTACTGGCTGCACAAAATAACCAAGTAAGGGCTAGAAAGAGGGTGCAGCCAATAAGGACTGGGGAAAATATAAACATATAACAAGCTCACAGAACAGCTGTCTCCAACAGGATATGTACGTTGGAGAGAACTGCACATAAAATAACCTAAGAGTCTCCCCTGGCCGGAATACGTATAATAAAGCTTGAAAATAGTGCTTAAATTACGCAGGATTCAAAATAACGGAAGCCAAGGTCTCCGGTCAAAATGATTGGTCAACTTGATTTTAGCTCGGTCAAAATATGTTTTTGACCGGTCATTGATACGCTTACAGTAACAGTGAAACAAACTATTAGAAACTTGTTTCGATACATCATAGTTTCATGTTTTCATTCAAGACGTCAGCAATCACATTGGAAGGTATGAAAATGTGGCCGGTCAAAATCGAGGTCAAATGACCGGCGAGGCAAAAAAGTGACCGGTCAAGAGGCATTTTTGGCCGGTCATTGTCCGTTGACCGGCCGTTATTTTGAGCCCTGTATTACGTACAACCAATAGACCTTTCCCCTTTTAAGTGAAATTTTGATCTAAACAAGTCTGGACAAAAATTTCATCACAGCTTGAAAGAGCATCACAAAATTAGTAATTTTTCTGTGCTGGTGTTGTGTACTCAGGTGAATAATATGTTTGCGATGTTACTCTGAGTGCATATCCACACCGGGCGAACTTGAAAAATATGCCCGGCCATGCTGGGATTCGAACCTACGACCTTTGGAATACTAGCCCAATGCTCTTCCGACTGAGCTACGCGGTCAGGACGGTTCGAGTAAGTGATATTTCGGAACAGTATCTAGTTCCTTCAATACCAATATGTTCTACTAATATGAATTTTTTTTTCCTGTGTTGGTGTTGTGTACTCAGGTGAATAATATGTTTGCGATGTTACTCTGAGTGCATATTCACACCGGGCGAGCTTGAAAAATATGCCCGGCCACAGTGGGATTCGAACCTACGACCTTTGGAATACTAGCCCAATGCTCTTCCAACTGAGCTACGCGGTCAGGACGGTTCGAGTAAGTGATATTTCGGAACAGTATCTAGTTCCTTCAATACCAATGTGTTCTAGTAATATGAATTTTTCTGTGTTGGTGTTGTGTACTCACATGAATAATATGTTTGCGATGTTGCTCTGAGCGCATATCCACACCGGGCGAGCTTGAAAAATATGCCCGGTCACGGTGGGATTCGAACCTACGACCTTTGGAATACTAGCCCAATGCTCTTCCAACTGAGCTACGCGGTCAGGACGGTTCGAGTAAGTGATATTTCAGAACAGTATCTAGTTGCTTCAATACGAATATGTTCTAGTAATATGAATTTTTTTTTCTGTGTTGGTGTTGTGTACTCAGGTGAATAATATGTTTGCGCTGTTACTCTGAGTGCATATCCACACCGGGCGAGCTTGAAAAATATGCCCGGCCACGGTGGGATTCGAACCTACGACCTTTGGAATACCAGCCCAATGCTCTTCCAACCGAGCTACGCGGTCAGGACGGTTCGAGTAAGTGATATTTCGGAACAGTATCTAGTTCCTTCAATACCAATATGTTCTACTAATATGAATTTTTT